AAATTTTTGGCTACAACATATCTGACAAGGGTCTAATCTCTAAAGTTTATAGAAAACTTCTACACCTCAACAACAAAAAGACAAACTTCACAAAAGAAGACATTCAGGCGGCTAACAAACACATGAAGAAATGCTCACACTCATTAGCCATTGTTGTTGTTGTTGTAATGTGCCATGGTGTCAGACCCGACTCATAGTGACCCCTCCTTGGGTTTCCGAGGTGGTATCACTATGGAAGTAGATTGCCCAATCTTCCTTCTGAGGAGTGGCTGGTGGGTTTGAACCGCCAGACTTCTGCTGGTTAGCAGTCAAGTGCCTTAGGTACTATGCTACCAGAGCTCCTCATTGGAAATTGTTATTAGCCATAGCCATAAGAGAGACGCGAATCAAAACTACAGTGAGTTACCAGCTCACCCTGACAATAACAGCACTAAATTAAAAAAAAAAAAGAAAAGAACAAATGTTGGCCAGGTTGTGGGGAGATTGGAACTCTCATACACTCTTGATGTAAATTGTAAAGTGGTACAACCCTGTTGTATTGTACCATATGAAAAATGGTATGATGCTTCCTTAAAAAGCTAGAAGCAGAAATACCAGAAGATCCAGCAGTCTCACTCCTAGACTCATAGCGACCTTCTTTGGGCTTCCAAGGCAGTAAATCTTTATGGAAGTAGATTGCCCAGTCTTCCTTCTGCAGAGTGGCTGGTGGGTTTGAACTGCCAACCGCTGGTTAGCAGAAAAATGCCTTAGGCACTACACCACCAGAGCTCCACCCCAGGTTGTATTAAAAAAATAAGAAATTCTGAAGAAATAAGATCTGTGACATGAATAGATTTACACACATCCATGTTCACAATTATTACTATTATTATTCACAATAGCAAAAAGATGGAAACAACCTAAGTGCCCATCAATAGATGAATGGATAAACAAACTGTGGTAAGTACACAAAATGGAATATTCCACAATGTTAAAGAATAATGATGAATCCACAAAACATCTCACAGCATGAAAAGAATTTTGAGGACCTTCTGCCAAGTGAAGTAAGTTAATCACAAAAGGATACATACTGTATGAGACCACTACTATTAAAAAAACAAACAAAACAAGGAAAGATTTACACACAGGAAAAAAAAAAAAATTCTTTGTTACCAGGGATCAGAGGGGGAGGGAGAGGAAACTACTAACTAGATAGAAGACACGTGTTAATAATGATGAAGGGAAAGATATACAATATAGGGGAAGTCAGCACAACCTGACTGTGGTAGTTATGTTTGTGTGTCAACTCGGCTAGGCCTGGTTGAGTGGCTGGGCAGCTGGATATAGTATTCCTCATGAAGAGACTGGTAATCAACTCCATGGTGGACTCTACTGGGAGCAGCTGAGCCTTTGGGATGTGTCTGCTTCCTGTTTATAAGGAGAAGCTTTGAGAATGGTCTCTAGCCTTTGGCACGCTTGGACCCTGCATGTAGCCATGTCATTGCTCAACAGCCTGCCATGCTCTGCCGACCTTGGGACTTGCTAAGTTAATGGCCTGCCGTGTGGTACGGTAACATCGGGACTGTGCCTTTTTACTTGTCAACTTTGGGACTTCTCAGCCTCAGCAGCCAGCGGCTGTCTGAGCAAAGAAATGCCTCTAGCTCCAGTGGGCCAGGAGCAGGAGGCAGAGCCAGACCCCAAGGTTGAGGGGCTTTCACCCAGCCCCTAGAGCCTGGCACTTTGAACTTGGACTTAAAGCCTCCAAACTGTAAGAATAAACTCCTGTTTGTTAAGACCATCTCACTTGTGGTAAATTTCTTGTCAGAGTGGCACTAGGTAACCAGAACACTGACCAAGACAAAGGAAGGCACTGAGAGGAAGCCAAGAATAAAGGGCAACGATGTAAATACTCTAACAGACAATCCTGCGACAATAGTATTAGCAAACAACAATTTAAGAATGGATATGTAGGTATATAGGCATGCTAAAGAGGGGTGGGAGGGTATAAGGGAGCATACTTACCTGTAGGTATAGTCTTGGTTATAGATATTTCTACATACGTAATTATAGGTGCTGCATGTATTCATTAGGGAGCTCTGGTGGTGTAGTGTTTCAGCATTCAGCTGCTAACCAAAAGGTCGGCAGTTTGATCCCACCAGCCACTCTGTGGGAAAAAAAGATGACTCAGTCTGCTTCCATAAAAATTACAGCCTTAGAAACTGGGGCAGTTCTATTTTGTCCAAAAGGATTGTTATGAGTCATTGCATCCATTTGTTGAAACATTTCAATTAGTATTTTATCAATTCCTGGAACTTCGTTTTTCACCAATGCCTTCAATGCAGCTTGGACTTCTTTCTTAAGTAACTTTGGTTCTTGATCATATTTTACCTTCTGAAATGGCTGAACGCTGATTCTTTCTGGTGCAGTGACTCTGTGTATTCCTTCCAGCGTCATTCAATACTATGCTCATAGAATCCTTAGTATTATAATTCGAGGCTTAAACTTTTTCTTTAGTTCTTTCAGCTTGAGAAATGCAGAGCATGTTCTTCACTTTTTATTTTCTAATTCCAGGTCTTTGTACATTTTATCATAATACTTTACTTTGTCTTGAGATGCCCTTTGAAATCTTCTGTTCAGCTCTTTTACATCATCATTTCTTCCATTTGCTTTAGCTACTCTTATGTTCAAGAGCAAACTTCAGAGTCTCTTCCGACATCCAGTTTGGTCTTTTCTTCATGTTTTGTCTTTTAAATGACCTTTTGTTTTCTCAAGTATGATGTCTTTGATGTCATCCCACAACTTGTCTGGTCTTAGGTCATTAGTGTTCAACGTGTCAAATCTATTCTTGAGAGTCTCTAAATTCAGGTGGGATATATGCAAGGTCATACTTTTGCTTTTGTGGACTTGTTTTAATTTTCTTCAGCTTCACCTTGAACTTGCATATGAACAACTAATGGTCTGTTCCACAGTTAGGCCCTGGCCTTGTTCTGATTGATGATACCAAGAGTCTCCATTGTCTCTTTCCACAGACATAGTTTATTTGATTCCTGTGTATTCCATCCAGCGAGGTCCATGTGTATAGTTGCTATTGATATTGTTGAAAAAAGGTAGTTACAATGAATAAATTGTTGGTGTTGCAAAATTCTATCATGCAATCTCTGGTGTAGTTTCTGTCACCTAGGTCATTTTCCGATTACTGATCCTTCCTCTTTGTTTCCAACTTTTGCATTCCAATCACTATTACCAATGTATCTTGATTGCATGTTTGATCAATTTCAGACTGCAGAAGTTGGTAAAAATGCTCCATTTCTTCATCTTTGGCCTTAGTAGTTGGTGCATGAATTTGAAGAATAGTTGTATTAACTGGGCTTCCTTGTAGGCTTATGGGTGTTATCCTATCACTGACGGCATTGCACTTCAGGATAGCTCTTGAAATATTCTTTTTGACAATGACTGTGACACCACATCTCTTCAATTTGTCATTCCTGACATAGTATATCATACGATTTTCTGATTCAAAGTGGCCAATACCAATCTATTTCAGCTTACTAATGCCTAGGATATCAATCTTTATCTGTTCCATTTTATTTTTGGTGACTTCTAATTTTCCTAGATTCATAATTTGTGCATTCCATATTCTGATTTTTAATGGATGTTTGCAGCTGTTTCTTCTCAGTGGTGCCACATCCACAAATGAAGGTCCCAAAAGCTTTACTCCATTCGTATTATTAAAACTGTGCTTTGAGAAGACTGCTAGTATAGTGCCTAAGGCATTTGACTGCTAACCAGAAGGCTGGTGATTCAAACCCACCAGCCACTTCCTGGAAGGAAGATTGGGCAACCTACTCCTGTAGTGATACTGCCTCAGAAACCCAAGGAGGGGTCGCTATGAGTCAGGTCTGACTGGACAGCACATAACAACAACAAGAAGCTCTTTTTCAGTTGTATTCTGAGTGCCTTCCAACCTGAGGGGCTCATCTTCTGGCACAGTATCAGACAACGTTTAGCTGTTATTCACAAGGTTTTCACTGGCCTTTATTTTTAGGAGATTGCCAGGTCTTTCTTCCTTGTCTGTTTTAGTGGAAGCCCCACTGAAATCGGTCCACGATGGGTGACTCTGCTGGTGTTTGAAATACCTGTGGCATAGCTTCCAGCATCACAGCAACATGCAAGTCACCCCAGTAAGACAGACTGACAGACGTATGGCGGGAGGTGGCAAGAAGGGGTAGTAAATCCCCAGGCAAGGAAACGGGAACCCAGAGTGGAATGGGGAGAGTGCTGACACAAACCAATCTCATGGAACACATTGTGTGCAAACGATGGAATGCTGTTGTTGGCTCAAAAAACAAAAAAACAAAACCAAACTCATTGCCCCGCGCGGTGATCCCGACTCAAGCCACCGGTCCTTGGATTTCTGAGGCGGTATCTCTACAGATGTACAAGAGCAGGAGAGACTGCCCGGTCCTGCACCGTCCTCAGTTCTCCCTACGCCCAGCCACTGTGTCAATCCATCTCATTGAGGGCCTTGCCTTCTTTTGCTGACCCTCTACTTTACCAAGCATGATATCCTTTTCCAGGGACTGGTCCCTTCTGACATCATGATCAAAGGAGGTGAGACCAAGTCTGACCATTCTCTGCACTCCTTCCAGGAATAGGGAACTTATTTGCTCTGTTAACTTTCACCTAAAGCACAATAAATAACGTAATTAAAAAGAAAGAAACCCGCGTCTGGTCTTGAGGATGACCTGCAACTCCGCGTACCAAGCGCCAAGGCCAGCACCCCATTGACCCACAAGCCATGGGGGCCCTACTGTCGCTGGACTTCTTCGGGGCAGCCAGTCGCGCCGCCTCGCCACAACCCCCAGCCAGCAGACCTGCCCCTGCTCACGTGACTTCCTGAGAAGCCGCCGGCCCCGCCCCGGCCCCTGTTAAGTTTCGTTTCTTCAGTCTCGGCGTTGCAGGCAGTGCTGCATCCTCGGCCGTCGTTCTAGCTTGTCCCGTCTGGACCCTCTTGGAACGCCATGGCGGAGCTGAAACCCCTGGCCGAAGAGCTGTCGTGCTCCATTTGCCTGGAGCCCTTTAAGGAGCCGGTGACCACGCCGTGCGGCCACAACTTTTGCGCTTTGTGCCTGGACGAGACGTGGGCCGTCCAGGGCGCGCCGTACCGGTGCCCGCAGTGCCGAGCCGTCTACCAGGCGCGGCCGCAGCTGCAAAAGAACACTGTTCTGTGCGCGGTGGTGGACCAATTCCTGAGCATCCAGCTGGCCCAGACGGAGCTCCCCGACGGCTGGACGCCGCCCACCCGCACCGCGGCCCCCAGCCCGGCAGGGCAGGTGGCCTGCGACCACTGCCAGAGGGCGGCCGCCGCCAAGACCTGCCTAGTGTGTATGGCCTCGTTCTGCCAGGAGCACCTGCAGCCGCACCTCGACAGCCCCGTGTTCCGGGATCATCAACTCCAGCCGCCCATCCGCGACCTAATGCGGCGCAAGTGTCCCCAGCATAATCGGCTGCGGGAGTTCTTCTGCCCAGAGCATGGCGAGTGCATCTGCCACATCTGCCTGATGGATCACAAGGCCTGCTCAACGGCGTCGATAAGCCAGGCCAGCACCGAGCTGGAGGTAAGGGGAGAGGGGGAGGGCTGGGTAGGTTGCCCGGAGGACACTGCCACTGGTCATCTCTGCCATACCCTGAGTCTTGTGGGGGTGTTTGCTGTGCAAGGCCTGAGGTGGAGGACAGGGATCTCCAGAATGTCACTGTGCAAAGGAGGTGGGGATCATACAGGCCTCTTCCACCATATATGCCAGCCTCCCAACACACACCCATTTTACAGAGATGCAACCAAGGTGACTTGCCTTGTGCTTATCTGATGGTGTTTTGTAGGTGGTTATGTCAACTATGAGCCCTGGAGGTTATCTCTGTTCCTTCATTAAGTCCTGGGAGCACCCAGGAGATGGATATTATTATCTTCGTTTTATAGTTGAGGAAACGGGTCTAGAGACATTAATTGAACTTGAGGTAATGCAGTAAGTAGTGGAGCGGGCTTTGAGACCCAAGATGGTTTGATTCCAGTGTGTGATTTCTCACCACAGGCCAGCCTCATATATTTATAAGTCTGGAGAAACCAGAGCACAGGCCACTTCCAGAGGCTTGAGGCCATGTAAGCAAAAGTCTCTGGTGACCTGGAGAGTTCTGTTGACCAGGGTCAGTTGTCGTTATTAGAGGACAGGGAGGGTGTGCTGAGCCCCAGGGTGACTGACCCACGGGGAGAGCTAGGCTCTTGCACCATAGCCCCCCCTCCTGGATATATGACTTTGAGCAAAGGACGTGGCCTCTGGCCTGGGGCTGCCTCAGTGAAATGAGGAGTTGAGAGTTTGGTTCCTAAGGGCTCTTGCTCTGTGATCTTTGTGGTTTGGAGGGACCGTTCCTTTCCTCTGTGGACTCAAGGCAGAGACTGAAAGATGTAATCACACCATCTTGAGTTGTACACCTTTCTAAATTCCAAACCAAACTCACTGCCATCGAGTCAATTCCAACTCATAGCAACCCCACAGGGTTTCCAAGGCTGTAAATCTTTGCAGAAGCAGATCTTGTCTTTCTCCCATGGAGCGGCTGGTAGGTTTGAACCACTGACCTTTTTGGTTAGCAGCCGAATGCCTTAACCACAGCAACACCAGAGCGCCTTCTGAGTTCCAAAGCATGGCCTTATTTGATTTCACGATTACAGCCCTTTTGGCTTTCTGACCAAGAAGAACAGGGGCTCTTCTTGTTTTGTTAAAGGAGACTCGATGCCTGGGTGAAGTTGGGGTGAGGGTGGTGGTGGGTTTGCAGTGGTGCTGGATCCAGAGTACAAGCCTCCTTGATTTGAAGTACAGCCAGTCGTCCTTCCTTGGCCTTATCTGCGTCACTGGGCCAGAGCTGGGTGTTGAGAGAGGCCTGGGTTTGACTCCTAGCTCTGTGTCCTAGCTGGGAAATCATAAAAGGAAACAACAACAACAACAACAATTAGTACCTCTCCGCAGGGTCCACCACCTGTCTGTCAATCTGTCATACTTTGGGGGCTTGCATGTTGCCATGAGTCGGATCCAACTCATAGCGACTCCTCCTTGGGTTTCCAAGGCAGTATCACTATGGAAGTAGATTGCCCGGTCTTCCTTCCGAGGAGTGGCTGGTGGGCTTGAGCTGCCACCTCTGGTTAGCAGTCAAATAAGACTCAGAGTGACCGCATGTGACAGAGTAGAATTGCCCGATAAGTTTTCTTAGCTGTAATTTTTTTTTTTTTTTTAAATTGTGAATTGGATGAAAGTTTACAGAGCAACTCCATCCTCGACACAGCAGTTCACTTGCACTTTGTCTCATGACATCGACTGCAGTCTCCTATAATGCTCTCCTCCCACCTCCCCCACACAGCTACCTCCTCCCTGTGTCCTTCCCTCCCATGCAGTCCTGCCCCCCCCCGAGCTGTCTCCCTGTGCATACACAGCCCTTCTATTCTCCCATGATTGTTTTCTCCAAGGAGCGTATCTACCTAGTGTAAATGTTCAGCTCATATGCCTGTCTTTTCTTTGGCTGGAAGCCACAGGAGTGGGTTCAGTTCCAGACCTGAAGGACAGCTAGGGACCATAGTCTCAGTGGTTCCGTCAGACTCTATCAGACCGGCAAACCTGGTCTTTTTTTTTTTTTTTTTAATGATTTTGAGTTTTGTTCCACATTGGTCTCCCACTCTATCCAGGATCTCCTACAAAGATCCCCCTCCAAGTGGTTGACATTAGTAGCCAGGCACCATCTAGTTCTGGTCTCATAGTCATATAGGGTGAGGATCGCATGGTGTACCCATCGCTAGGACTAATTGTTTCCATGTGTCTTTGGTTTTCTTCATTCTTCTTTGCTCTGGATGAGGAGAGAACCATCGTTGCATCTAGATGGCTGCTTGCAAACTTTTAAGATCCCGGTAGCTACTTGCCAAAATAGGAGGTGGAACAATGTTCTGCATAGTATGTTATGCCAGTTGAGCTTCTCTGTAATCTTTATGGAAACAGATAGCCAGGTCATTCTCCCCTGGAGTGGCTGGGTGGGTTTGAACCTTCAGCCTTTTGGTTAGCAGCCAAGTGCTTAACCATTTGCTTTACTAGGGCTCCTTTACTGAAAGCTACACAATCAGTTATTTCAATACCAGCAGGATCACCCAAGTGCAGTGGAATTTCCAGACTAAGACAGACTAGGAAGAAAGGCCTGGTAATCTCCTTCCAAAAAGCAGCCAATGAAAACCTGTGACTCACAACAGGATATGATCAGAGTATAGTGCCCCCCAGTTGGAAGGCACTCAGGATTCACAGTGGCTGCAGTGGATGGAGCATGTCAATGACTGGGAGGATGGTGCAGGACTAGAGGAGGCTTCGTTCTGTTGCACATGGGGGCTCAGTGATTTAGAGCTGACGCTATGACAACTGACAACAACAATAACGTCAGGAAGTTATTGTCAGGATTAAATGAGGCACGGAGTAAAAATTGGCTTACAGAACAAGCTCTATAAGAGCTGCTGTTACCATTCCTGTGACACAGGCTTGAGTAGAGGAGAGCTTGCTGTGTTGAGGGTGCCCTTGGGCAGGCTACCCAGATCTTCTTTGCCTTAGGGTTTATTTTGGTTACTTAGTGCTGCTTTGACGGGAATATACCCCAGGTAGGATGGCTTTAACAAACAAGAGTTTATTCTTAAAATTTTTGGAGGCTAGTACACCGAGCTCCAAGTGCCAGGCTTTAGGGGCTGGGTGAAAGCCCCTCAACCTTAGGGTGCAACTATGCCTTTTGCTTCCGGCCCGCAGAAGCTAGAGGCATCTCTTCACTCAGGCAGCTACTGGCTGCTGAAGCTAACGAGCCCAAGGTCGACAAACAAAATGGCACACTCCCAATGTTACCAAACCACACAGCAGGCCATTGATTCAAGTCCACTGAAAGTCCCAAGATGGGCAGGGCATGGCAGGCTGTTGAACAAAACTTGGCTACATGCAGGGTTCAAGCCTGCCATAAACTAGAGACCGTTCCCCAAGACTTCTCCTTATATATAGGAAGCAGACCACATCCCTAGGGCAGCTACTCAGCTGCTCACAGTAGATTCCACCATGGAGTTGATTACCAGTCTCATCATGGGGAATACTAATCCAGCTGCCCAGCCACTCATCCAGGCCCAGCCAAGTTGACACACAAACTTAACAACCACAGGTTCAATGGCCAGACAGTCAGGACTGTGGCAGCCTGGCTCCTGCAGAGTTCCTTCTAGAAGTTCTTACCTGTAGAGGCAAGTAGGGGCAGCCACACATCTCTTTCAGCCTTCACATCCCAGAGCTGCAAGCTCCTCCCTATTTATTTGTGTCCGTACACACGTTTTTTTAATCCCTGTGTGGTTAAGTTTGTGTGTCAACTTGGCTGGGCCTGGTTGAGTAGCTAGGCAACTGAATGTAGTTATTCCCCATGGTGAGATTGGTAATCAGCTCCATGGTGCAGTCTATTGGAGGAGCTGAGCAGCTGCTTTGGGTGTGTGGGCTGCTTCCCGAATATAAGAAACAGCTTTGGGAGTAGGCTCTAGCTTATGGCACGCTTGAACCCTGTATGCAGCTGAGTCATTGTTCAGCGGTCTGCCATGCTCTGCCAATCTTAAGACTTTTAATGGACTTGAATTAATGGCCTACTGTGTGGTTTGGTAATATTGGGACTGTGCCTAATTACTTGTCTACTTTGGGCTTGTCCGCCTCAGCAGCCAGCAGCTGAGTGAAAAAAAGCCTCCAGCTTCAGTGGGCCAGGAGCAGGAGGCAGAGCTGAAGCCCAAGGTGAGGGGCTTTCACCCAGCCCCTAGAACCTGGCATTTTGAACTCAGACTTAAAGCCTCCAAACTGTAAGAGAATAAACTCGTTTGTTAAAGCCATCCTATTGGTATGTTCTTTTCAGAGAGCGGCACTAGGTGACCAGAACAATCTCTAAACAGGCCTTCCCGGCC